TTCTAATTATTTATTTGTTTTGATTTTCTCAAATTTTGTATCTTAACATCGTGTTAAATTATTCTTTCTGACGAATATATTATTTTATAATTCAATCAATTATGCTATCATTTTAAGATAAATTCTTACCATAATAATTATTAATACTCCTAACTTCATAATTATAGTGCTTTTCCTAAGAAAAAACTTGTAATAGATTCTTATATACTGCTTGTTTTTCATGAACTAAAGTTTATATACCGTGTGGCTAGTAGAAGTATGTACAAAGCTCCCTGCGGCAAACCTCGCCTCTTGCAAGTTGCATGTTACATTTACTTTACTTACTCAATCTCATATTATTCTGTTTCCTATTCACTGTCCCATTTATCCTACTTTAAATACAGCCAACGTATTATGGTATGAAATGTTTTATTTAGTATTATAGTAGTTATTAAAGTAAGCAACTAATTATCACTTCGGTAATATTAAATCGTAATTTTCAAAATCATATTTGGGTTAATATATTACGTGTATAATAAAACGAATAGGACTCATCACGACAGTCGTTTAATAACAGTACCGAAAGGCCCGGATTCATAACATACAGAAGGTACAAAGATTCCGTATGATAGATGATGCTTTGAAACGAAAAGCATTTTACGAAGGGTCCTTTCATTTTCTTGGCTATAAGCTTTTTGCATCACGCCCTGATTCTCTTTATTACAATGCCCTTCATTTATAACATGAATATCCTTGCAATATTCATATGTTTATTGAAAATGAATGATACGAAATCATAGAACACTCATAACTTGAATAATATTTGTCAATTAAGATTTATAAGTATCCAGTAAACGGTGAATCAAAATAATTTTGCGGTCAAATAAAAATAGAGCTATCATCGAGCACACTTCCGCAGCGTCTCGACTTCTTAATAAGTTGGGAACTATCACCGTCAGCTCTCGCGGCTGGGTAACTAATAAAGTAAGTTGGAGAGGAAAAGTAAACTAATATCGGCCAGCTCTGATACTAGGGCAGATCGTCTCCTGCGGCCGCTGCTAACGCCACCGGGACGAGGTCTCGCTACAGATTTATTACTTTAATATGAGCACTCCATCTGACTATGAATGTCACCGTTATCTTACTTTATACACGCTCCTCTCAAATTATTTGCATAAGTTTTTATACGAATTATACAATGGCGTTCTGTATGCCGCTATGTTTTACACTTATAACGAAAGTTATACATATTTGAATATCAAAATTGTTTGTCAATGTTATAATGAAGTTAATAGTTATTGTATATTTAAAATGTAAAGATATTTTTAATTTGTGTTTATAATACTCTTCAAGTGGTGAGTAACAACGGCAAAACAATATTCATTAGCATTTCTTCCAATCATTCTCACTTTAAAAACTCGTTTTGTAAAAGTTTTTTAAATTTCGCGAAAAGTTTTGGTGCAAATTAAGAGCGAATTTTACTTCATCCGTTTTCCCATTAGTAATTTCAGAGTTCTAATGAATTTCCTTCTTAGACATTGAAAAATGAATTTCGACCCTTACTTTTACCATTGGACCATCTGTAGCGCACTAAACTTACATCGATCCGCGGTTACCGGGACTCTTCCACCCTTGCCACCACATTTACATATTTTCATGGCACGTACGTATTTTCGTCGTCACTGCGCATCGGTAGAAAAGTTTTGTCGTTTCTGTTCGGTTGTAGCGTTGTTTATTGAATAAAAACACATGTAATAAAGTCGTGATAACATACTTCGTGTACATACTGTTATTATAATGGCGTACCAGTCGAACGCTGTTCGTAATGATAGAATAATTTTGGTTGTAAACATTTTAGAGAGGAAGCAAATCGAGAGAGGATCCCGCCCCCTGCCCCCTGCCCCCCCCCCCCTCCTCCACTCCTCATTACCCGTAACAGTGGCCCATTAGGCTCACGGGCCGAAGTGCCCGAGACCGTAGTTAATCCACGTCCTCATTCTCTGTTATTTCGAAGGTCTGATCTAATCTAAACAGGGTTTCCCTTTATGTACTCCTACTATCCCCGTCGCATCGACCATTTGACATTTGCCTTGTTATAAACGGAAATAATCAAACACTCTGTTGTTTAACTCGCTTATAATTTTGTGTTGACGATGAGTCAAATCCGACCTTCGTGTTGGATATGATCATGAATTGGGTAGAATTTAAACAAAACATAATTACGATAACATCGCAGAGCATAATAACAAAATAACACTGTAATGTTGACTTGACTTCATTGGAAACCGAGCGTAGCGAGTAAAGACCGAAGTAGAAGGGTCAATTTAGAAGCTATTATAGGATGGCCGTTAGAGGCCTACTTCCGGCGGCTGCACTAAGCTGCCGTGTTCCATTCCCGTCCAATTTGGGCCTTTCTGTAAAGCTATTCAACTCTTACATTTACTGTAAATAACTTTACCGCTGTAACAGTGAAACTTTTTGCAAATGACAGCCGACTATCAAAATATTGAAAACATTTGTCCATTTCTAGTTTATAATATTTCATATGAAATATTCATTATGAAAATGTTAGTCTAAAAGAATTTGCTACAGAGAATATATTCTCTTTTTATCGTTTCTTATTTTATAAAGTCCAGGAAATAATTCCTCCTTTGAAGCAGAGTAGATTTCAATTCCGTACTCGATTATCGTTATTTGCTGATTGAGGCAACCGAAATCATTTTGAACCCGAGCTGTAATAACATCTCACATGAAATATGTCAATTTATAAAGTAAAAACGATATCCGTATATTTATAATATGAGAAATATATTTTTGTCTGTTTGCTCCATTGATGTTGCGGCTCTAGGTTTCGTATAAACATTTTCATACCGCAACAAAATTTATGATTTATAATACGTTTAAATTAAACTTGGACGTAGTTTGCATGTTCGTTGTTTGGCGCGTTGCATCCCTAGTGGAAGAGCTCCGTAGTACATTGTAACTGGGCAACAAACGAGGAGTTATGACGGCGGGGAAGGATTACGTGAGTGGATGGCGTAATAAAGCTTGCGATGAAGCAGTTACCCCAAGATAAACGTAAATATCTCGGGATGTTGCCGTCTGCCTCTCCTCTACCTACCTGCTGTGCTAACTCATACACTTTTTTTTCATAATTGCTTTTTAATATTTAACCAATGTTTAAATTTTGCCAAAGTCAACAACAACAAATTATAAGATTGATGAATTGTATGTTCCGTTCTCGAATACGTTCGTTTACAATAGCAGTTAATGTCATGTCCGTAATATAATGTCCAGTCAATTGTTTGTAATAAATTTAATGTTAATACCATACATGAATAATGACCACTCGTGAAACGGAATAGCTCATACCGCTTAATAAATAAAAGTAAAATATATTGTAATTGAACATCTAAATGTTCATAATAACAGTAATTAAAGGAGGTATCACCCACGAGGTTCATTCAGTACGTCGAGACGTTAGTGACAGCCGTGTAAGGTGCCCTTTGTCCTTTATAACGTATGTTGTCTCGCGTCTGCTCTTATCTCCTAAATTAATTACATAAATCTTGTTTGCATACGTCTTAAGCGTGTGTCACACGGCCATAATTCAACCGAGGCTTTGGTTTACACTGCTAATGAAGGGTAACTACAACCATTTCATATGAATCGTATTGAAATACAGTGATGTTGTTGTATTAAATTATGTAAATTGTTATTCACTCGACCATTAAAACTAACGCCGTCCTGTTTTGAACCGCTGTCTCCTTGTATAGTGTAATGTTTTTGTGGAGTTATATTCATTTATATAAAGGGGTACGGGTGCATATGCTCCGTGGTGTTTGCGAGCGACTGTGATGATTTCCCTAGGCGTTATGTGTCGGGAGTTGATCTAAGTTGGTTCAAGACGTCGTTTCTACCGTTCGTACTCACCCCGGCTTGTAATCCCGTCGTTGTCGCAATGTCTATGAATGCTTCGTGTATTTGATTTAACTATAATTCTACCACTTTGCTCCTTCCAATACAATTTGTATTATATCAAATGTAATCGCGATTTCAATAACATGCAATGAAAATAGACGACATATATTTGTGACAAGATTAGTATAAAATATGTACATATAAATGAAAGTGTAAATATGATTTTTTTTTGTTACTAATCAATGACGTTAATGATATTGGTCTCCTCTTGAAAACTATCTCCATTAACAGAATAGAGTTATTTTCCTTTGTACAGTCTCGAACGGACAGACGGTCGTGTTATTCAACAACAATGAAGTTCGTTTAGATTTTTCTGGTTATTATTTTGTCTCTTGTTCTTTAAAATTATTTGACCATCGAGATATATTTTTAAGTGTTAATTAGATAATTTATTTTTAACCTATAATTTTGTTATTTAGCATTAATCTCCTTTCATAATACATATTATATCGTTTTGTATTCGACAGTTTGACATTTAATCTTATTGAATCTATGTATTTTATAGCTTCATTCATTTTATATTTTATAATTTTAAGGTTTCTTTGACAACTTTATTTATAACGTTTAAAGTTACATTTTTAACTTGAATTAAAAAATATTACTATATTAATTCACCAGTATCAATTTGTATAACACATGTGTGTTAAAAATAAAACTCAAGTACTCATTTATCAATCAAGAAACCTCCAAATCCATGCACTCTATGAAGATGACATCTATGAAAGGGAAACATTAATTAGCGTTCATGAAAAAAATTATGTTTACACATAAAAATTCATTACTACATATTCTTTGTTGAATACAAAAAGTCATCAATTAATTTTAATATTAACATTAAATTAAAGAAATCATCAATAGTTGTATTAGAGAATTAAAATATATAAACATTTATAAGTTAAATATATTTTAATAAAACCGTTACATGATAATCGCCATTAAGGCAGCTATAAGAAAAAAAATCGTTAATGTATCCTCACTATCATTACGTGTAATTGAAGACGGTGTTACAAAGTGTAGCGCGCCGACTATTTCAATCAAAGTCAACCGTTCGGCGTCGATTCTATGAAGAGAGTAAATGACGACTTCCTTGCAACTCCTCGTTCAAATAGTCCGCCGGTGTGGAGAGGGTTGTGCAACGCTCCTGAAGGTCTGTAATCAGCTTTGTGATCGGTAATTGGGTGTCTGAGCTGGCGATAGCATTTATTCTCGATAAATTGAAAATTGTTTTGGGCCGAGGAACACTCTGTTGTTAGCACATTCCACTGATATTGTTACTTACTTAATTGTCCTCAATTTATATGTCTATCTCGACATCCTAGTGATAAATTTAACAGCTTTATATTAAATGTGAACTAGACATTGTTAGCTTTATCAGGGTAACTAATTATGATATTATATAAAATAATAACACCCATAATACTCTGGTTAATGAAAATTTCGTGTCGTTACAGATATCCTCCCTCGCAATTGTAGGGCCCTTAGCGTTGTATCTACGCTAGAACGGCATCATTTACATATTTTAATAAAATAATAACGCAACTGAATCGTAACTGAGAACTTGATTTAAGTTCTTACTGCGATGAATGTAAATTCACCAGCGCCGCCGCCGCAATTCCAGATTTCAATTCCAGAATTAATGGCAGCCGACGTGGGCCGAGCCCGTCTAATATTTGCGTTACTTCCGGAGACTCACTTAGCGATGGATATGGAATAAATTAGTGCGAACCAGTCTTGCCGGGGAGATTCCAAAATAAAGCAAATCGAACGCGCTGACCGTCCGCTACGCCCGGTGGGGGATGGCATTTGTTTTGGAGATTTAGTTTTTGCAATATTCCGTAGGCTATGCACGGAGTCGGTTGGCCCTGCTAAGCGTGCATTAATATTGTCAATAGTTGGAGTTAGTGGAAGTGTAGTACGTGTTCCGCCTGCCGCTATCTACGGATAGCTCGCGCGGTGAATTCCAATGGCCTCTCACACCTCTAGCACCTCCGCCTCGTCCTCCTCCCCCCTCCTCCCCGCACCCCTCACCCCTCATAACCCCGCACCCCCACCCCGTAACGCCCCATAAACTCGCGTCTTAATTTTAACTTTATTTCTTACCGCTGTTCCAAGAAAATTAAGTGTGAACGTACCACTGAAAGATTCACAAGAGCGTTATTATGCGCTCTACCATCCGTTTAATGAATTTTGAGAATTCTTATTTTTCCAAGACCCTAGTCCCTAACCGTTCGTTGGATTATATAGATGTCAGATTAATACAGTAATGATTTAATGAAATATCCTTGTAAACATTTTATATAGTCTCATATCATACTAAAGCAGTCTTCCGTGGAATTAGAAATAATAATTCACTTGAGCAAAATTTGTAGCAACTAAAAAGTGCATTTTACTTCCACATAATTAGTTTTTATAAGCTCTTTTGTTCTTTGTTCGAGCAAGGTTACATTCCGTATCTTTCTGTAATAGCTGAATTATAAAGTTGTTTGTATTTTTTATTTTATGTTATATTTGCAAATTAAAGATGTGTCGTATTATATCTTTCAGAAACTGAAAAATGTTACGATTTATATTTATAAACAAGTTTTCGGTTTTTGAAACATAAATTGACTGAAAATTCTTTCTTAGTTATTACAAATGCCATGTACATACATATATGTATAACATAAAATATAAATATATGGCATTGTAGCATTTCGGAATAAGGCTCAGAGAACATTTTATACAGAATATTATTTAAAAGAAAATGATATTTTGTTAAGTGACAGTCAGCGACATCTTTAGTTAGTGTCACGTGACTTCAGACTACGTACAAATGTTATGGCTCGATCCCGCGGGAACTAAAAGTATGAATAGATAAATTATATACCGATGTCTTATTCTGATTCCTAAGCTACATTAATACAAAGTCTAGTGTTTTTTTCATGGATTCTTACAAACTTTCCTATATATTGTAATAGTGGGATATACTATATTTAAAACTACTTTGTGACGGAGAAATATTTTGATGCATAAAACTTTGTCTAATATTGTAACATAATGTTATTGCTATTGATAGATAGCGAGTACCAGGACTACCGGCTGAATGATAAAAATAGAAAACATATAATGAAAATAAAAATATTGACCCTCCATGTTCATAAGGACAAGCAATCTAACTGATATATATACTGTAATAAAAAATTAAATTTCTTCACATAATTTTAAGGTAAACAAAAATGTATGGAAAGAAACATTTTTTATTATAGCAAAAAATATAAACATCTTATCAAGGAGTTTACAGGCGCATAATTTCCAAACGGAATTGTATACTTTTCTGGGGTGCTGTCAATTCCATTTCTTTAGTATCCGCTTTTGCAGTTTTCATGAAAACACTACGGAACGTTCGGAATTTCCGTTGAAGGTAAAAGTTTTCTTGAGCAAATGCAATTTCGAAGTTGGACGGGCAGGCCAATGATGAAGCGAAAAGCTGGCACGGACGTCGGCGGTACCCTTGCCCGCATCCCCTACCCCGCGAGGTTCCGTGGAGCGATTACTGAGGCGATCGGCAGCGGCTGCACCTCGCCAGAAACAACTCCCGCGATGCTAAATAAATTCAAAACCGACCGACACCGGACACCGCTGCCCCTAGTTGTTATTCGGCCCTCGCTGAAATTCTTTTTATGCCAGTAATGGAAAAGTAAGATATTTATTTCGCGGTTGTAAAAACCCCGGTTTTACATTTTTCTTTTCCATCCCCGCAAGTCGTAGTTGGAAATTATGCGATTCCAACGTGAACGACGCTGTTAGATTATACATTTACATTAGCTTTTCGGTGAGACTTTCGCCCTCATTTTCATAATATGTAAAAGATCACAAAGCGTCATGAATAAATCGAAAAGAAAAAAAGGAAACGTCCTCGGTAATCTGAATTAACCTGAGATTTATTGTTTGCTACTTTTGCCACACAATTTTGGTTTTTTTCTTTAGTTTTTCTGTTTAATAAAAATATTTAGGATGCTTTGTGTATATTCCTCCTACATATATACATTTGTTATTCTATATCATATGAACGGAAGGCACCCCTTAATTCGATCATGGGATGAGTATTCATCGTACTACTGAAATAATATTTTCTTCACACTCTCATAACATTTGTTCTTATACATTATTTATTCAATATTCAAGACGTCCACTGATAAACAATTAAAAACAATAAACTTTAAACTTTAAATAACAAACTCCGCATACCATCTGTACTGAAGTTACTAAGACAAGCGATGTAAATAACGTGCAGCTTTAGTAGTTGGTGCGAACTGCCCTTTAATTATGAAAATGTATGCGAAGCACATGAAAGTTTGCGCAATTATGCCGTAGACGCTATCCGCGCTGCAGCGACCGACCACGTCCTTAACTGACGGCCACTGGACTCCTCGACCCATTCAATTACCGCACACTCGTACACAAGAAAACTTAAAAATGTACATTCTATGCTATATACGAATATAACATACTTAAATATTCATAATTTGTATAACAATTAAAGGAAGTACTATAAATAAGACGAATTTATGTAGGGATATAAAAATAAAGGAGAACAGCATCAAATAAAAGCCCATATTCCGGGATAAGTCAGACGCGACGGGGTCAATTATGAAGCAATAAAAGTTTTAGTGTTCCGCACAAATTGTCGATTTGCCCGCTGACGGATGGTTGCAATACTGACGCCGGTAAATGAGCACACGATAAAATTATCGTTAGCGGTAACGACATGAATAAATGCAGTAGGGTGGTCTCTGTGAGGACTCGCGGCGGCCGTCTGGTGGGGCTGCAACACACCACGAGAATCTATTAATACTTATATTACTAACACATATAATACTATTAATATATATATACGAGTTCATTCTGTGGTTTATATTCTAACAAAATTTCCGATTATACCGACACACGTCTACTACATGTCCTGAATGTGTTCATACGTTTCTCAATATATCGCAAAAAAAACTATTTGCATTTATAGACAGAATCTTTAAATTTTGGTCTGATAAATAAATGATCGATTACTAGCTTTAATATTTATTTCAAAATATCTAGTATTACTCCGTCAATTTTAAAATTGATTTATCTTGTAATAACGAAAATCCACTTGATTCACACAATACGAAACAACGATAAACAAAATTATTAACAGCCATCAAATAATAAGTAAAAAAAAACTGGTATTTTTATATCAAAAATAAAATATTTATCTGACAAAGTCAAACTGAAGTGTCAGAACGGCGCTCGTACTGAAATATCAAACGTAGAACGCACAGCGTGTGTAAAATTTTGCGGCTAGTTATAACCGAAATTTAAAATAAAACACATAAACTACGGCCGCGGTCCACGTCGCCCACTGTTGCATTATTGTTTAATGTCCGTAACGAACTTGTATCTACTCGTAAATAAGCATGTAATTATGATATTCGCTCCGGATAACATCAGAAATCATGTTAACCAATTTTGGGGTGTGGTACGCAATATTTATTACAGCCAAAAGCTAAAGCATAAATTATACGAGGATTGTCCGTAACGTACTTTAAGTTTCATGCAGAAGCTATATGCGAATGAGATTCGTTCTTATTTAATGTTAAATATGTGCTATCGTAAAATAAAAATACTATAATATATGTATATATGCAGGTGATGCGGCTCCGTAGTTGGTAGGAGCCGGTTCAGACTAGTGTTTGCTTTGATTTATGCCACACCGCTGCCGGCTGGGCGCTTGGAAATTTTAAACGTCACGCATTTATGATGAATACTCGCAATTTTCTCGCGGGAACACCGGCTTGATAGCAATGACTTCCCGACATTGTGACATTTTATTCAGCTGTTTTAAAAACGTTGATAAAAACATTGTTAGGATGGCAATTTATTCGTAATAAATCCTTCGAATGCGTCGTTCATTTGCTGTTGTTTGTATTGGAAGTTTATTTGTATATTTATTTGTTTTATATATGAGTATGTAGTGTATTGTATGGGTGCATCCATAGTGTATAGTGAGTGACGTCACAACGTCCGTCCTGCCCCGGGAGGCTCTAATCGCGTCGTCATCAGTAGTAGCCGGTCAACGTCGCTCGGATACACTGTACCCATAAATCAGTCAACGCCGCGTGATGGATGTTGCAGTCACTAACAAAAAAGATACGACAAAAAAATTATATATATATTTCATTGGATTTATATTCGAAAATAATAAGGATTTAATAAAGTCTATAATAAATACATCTGTGGTATTCAGAACGTAAATTAAGAAGGGTTATATATGGTATATGTAGGTATGTATGTAAACAAAATATGAATCTATAAAAATTGTTATGTAACACGTATTCGGTTTTAAAAATACATGGACAGACTGAAACGATATGTAAATTTGTTTGAACTAACCGTGCCAGTGGTAACTGAATTTATTTTGTTCTTACGGCGACCGGCGCGGACGGAGGCTTGTATTGAAAATGCACACCCACTCGTTAAGCGGAGGCTGCGGTCCGCGTGACGTCACGTCCGCTGATTCCAACCGACCTCATTACCATATATTATATTCACCATTCGCCTTAGATCGCTTCTGGCTTATTTTTATGCCTACATGTAGTATAACGTCTTTTCTATACCAGTATATATCGAAATTCATCCCAAATATAATACATTCGACAAACTGGTTTTCAGTTTAATGAGTAATGTGAATTAATAATATCTTTAACAGAATGAATACAAATAACATTATTCGTCTCAAACGCATGCTATAGGTTTACCTAGTTCCATAGTGTGAAGCTTACCGCTTTCGAACACCTCTTATTACTCCGAAGCCATATTCCATACATCGATTAACGCCACGACAGAAGATTACATTTCATCAATATTTATAGGCATTACGCTTTAAAGCTATAACAATATATTTTTTTTTGGGATCGTTGTTAATTTTTAATAAGCAATCGTAATTGCATAACAGAGCGTCGCGACACGTAAATCACTCGCCGGTCAGCCAGCGAAGCTAATATTTGCATATCACGATTGATGCGAAGCAATCAATACTGCAAATAATGGAATTGTCACATAAAATCTACAGAAAGGATTTCGTACAGCACTCGTTATTAACATATGTAGTTGTTTTAAATAGTATTTTTATACAATACCGACATTACTCACGCTTGAATACGTAATCAATTTTCATATTCGACGAATTTGCGATAATGGCTATGATAAAATGATTTCCGATAAAGTGACCGTTATATTACAATCATAATTTATGATATTCTAGATAACTATGATATATATAACTTTTATAGTAAATGTAAAAATATCTTTATGTAAGCCATACCAAGTTATTTTTTTTATAACAGCTGATTGTTATACCTATATTACAATGCTTCCTTACAAAATACAAACAGTAGTTATATATTCTTAAACAGCATACATATTTGTTAAAAACTAAACAAAATGAAGTATCTTTGAACAGTGTGCACGAGAGAGGAAACTTCTTTCATTTAGTGTATCTTACATAAACTGATGAAGATGTTAAAGTTATTCCTTTTGCCACCGATCGTAAGAGTGTTGTTCAAAGTTCTTATCAAAGTAGTACATTGAATCAACTTTAATATTTACAGATATAAAAAGACCTTTTATATACGTTATTAAATAATAATATGCTTGGAACATTGTAAGAAGTAGTCTGAGACCTTCGTTAGATGTATAAGCAGTTGTCATATTTATATACACACATACATATGTATCAATGTTATCGTCGGATAATTGCTCTTAATCTAATTAACAGTAATCTATAATATAATTAATAAGTTCTATATTACCAACAATATACGCAATACTACCGTTTGTGATATATAAATGTGTACTGATGATAAAAAAATTTAAATACTTCAACTACATAATAGTTATTTCGTCACCCAGTTTGAGTTTTTAAATACATATATACAAAAAACATCCTACAAACGGTAATAGTAACGTTGTACCGTTTAAACGAAACAAACTATTGATAACAATAACACATCGTCGATGCGATGTATTGCTGTGTCAAAATATTCTCGTCCTGATTGCTCTATTCTGCTATCGAGGCAGTATGTTAGCTTCACTACGCTGGCATTTTTTTTGCTCAACTATTACCGATACAAGGAAAATGGAACGCGGCATGTGCACGCGGTTAGGCAATTAAAGAGAACGTACGGTATAGAAATATCTCGGTCCGACTGTTTTGTTCATAGCGATTATATTCTGCGACATTAACTTAAAATTGTCTTTTTTTATTAAATCATCCGCTCGAACCTATATTGATTCGAACTGTATTCTGAGTGTATCATTTTTCCTATACTCTTCTATAACTATTCACTTATTTGCGTGTTATCACCTCTGTTTCCTTTTCTCACCTAAAGTGCGAAATATATGCAATATCGTATTGTGAACATTTGCGTTCTATGTTCTCCAGAGGCGTATACTCTGCCCCTTTTCTCTATTAACCTATAAAACTAAAAGTATGTTCACCTTCAAAATGTGCCTAAAGGTTGTTTGGGAACTATAACACACGACACCTTTGGTTAACCTTTTGCAAATTGATTTACTAAATATAAGTTTGTACATTTTATTGAACTATTTATGATTCGCGTTTGGTTTTATACCTTTATATATAACTTAAATTCCTA